ACGTGTAAAGTAGGCAAAATAGTGTTATGCATCACTCGAAGATAACTAAAGAAAATCAGGGCTAATAATTTTGTATATATCTTTTAATAATTGTTTCAAAAATATTTAAATTAAATTACTATCATATGTAATATAAAAACACAATTAATAAATATAATTATAATAAGTATAAAAATCAATCAAATTAGTCAAAATCAAAACCTGATTCTGAACACATTTCTAATATCTAATATCTAGATAACATGTCTTCTGTATCTACATTATCCGATTCAGAATCAATAATAATTTTGTTTGTTATTTTTAATTGTTTAAAATTTATTTAATTACAACAATTAATTACTATATTTTGTTTTGAATTGTATTCTAAAAACACTAATAAGTTTAAACATACAGTAGAAAATATGCGCGTTATACACGGGGTGCGCGTTATCTACGATTGATTTTGTATTCAAAAATATTGTTAAATTTCTTACTGCGCGTTATACACGGGGTGCGCGTTGTCTATGGGATAATACGGTAATAAAACCCAGGAATATGTTATCTTATATTTAGGGAATATTGTTTACCATAAACTCATCGCTGATTATACTATTTGTTTGATTCAAAGTCTAGTTCATAATAACCAATATTTTCCGATATAGTGTAAACATTTATCCCAATAACAACTTAATTGACAATATTTATTATATACACAAAAACCATTGTAGAATCAATTCAATAAAATAAGTATTTAAATAAAAATTAAAACACTTTATCAACAAATCATTAAACGAATAAAAAAAATGCTTCAAATATTTACAAACAATTAAACATTAAATACCAAATTAGCCGAGAAATGAATTCACGTAAAGATCGGTTCATTTAGTATTAGTTCAATAATATTCTGACCAAACATTTACTTTTATAACTTTAATGTATATTAACAAATATTGTGTTTTTGAAATCTTATAATAAAGTGTTACTAAACAGTGAATGTATTTACAATTTTTATAAATTTAACAATTATTTAAACCGATTGTGTTTAACAAAGTATTAATCTATAAGTGTTTATAAGCAATAAATATTTTCCATTTAAAGTTAGTGTCGTTTAAAGCAAAATCATTTTCAATCAAACAAAC